ATATATGTTTAAAAAGATATATTCTATTTTTAAAGGTTGATAATAATTATGTTTTTGTTGCGACATGAAAGATTAGGATATTATAGTATGAAATATTATTAAATATATAAAAATATAAAAGTTTAAAAGTTGCGTGTTATGTATGTAAATCTCCCGTAAAAAAGACAATTATTTATCATTTTAAAATTTGTGTATAAAGTTGAAACATGAATTTTCTAACAAATCTCCCATAAAAAAGACAATTATTTATCATTTTGAAATATTTATTTTCAATAATTAAAATTTTAAATTAACCAACTTTTGAAAATAAGACGGCTAAAGAAATCTAAAATAAATTATCGATTTGTATTATATAATTATCAATAATTGATGATATGTTCTGTAAATTTTAATTCAGATAATTGACAAAATTTCATGATTTATTTTAAAATCAAAATATATTTATGAAAACGTACTGAATATTGAAGGGATGTAGAATCTTAAAATGTCTTTAATAATTTTTTAATTTAAATATTTTGAATTTTTTTGGTTTTCTATTTTAATATATTTTAAGAAAAAATTACATAAAGACAGAAAGTTTTATGTATTTAGTATTTATTCATACACCGAACTCTAAATACCTTACAATTATTTCTATATCATTCCGATATTTAAATCACATTAAAATAAATGCATAAAAATTTTCTCCTTAGATAAATCAATTTTAGTGATATTTATGACTTTTGAAGATTAAAATATTAAGCAAATAAATATAAAATTTAAATCGTAGATATATAAAGACATTATAATTCTGTAATATGTTTGAAAACTTCCTTTTTTTTTGTGTGTTAAAAATTGAAAATTTAAGTTGAAGGTAACTCAAATTTGATTCATTAGGTCAAGGAATTCTTGAATTATTAAGGGCTTCCTTGCTTAGAAGTTATTTGGTACTAATGCAAAAGTAATCAAGAGGTTTTAAAATTTTTGTGATTTAGTGTCGGAAGTAAATCAACTGCAGTATAATATTAGTAGAAATTTAGAAGGCCTTCAGCTATGTGTTTTCAAAATTTTTGCAATGTGTTTTCAATATTTTTAAATTCTTATTTTAATTGAGGGTCAGTTTGGGGTAGTTGTAACTTATTAAATAATCTGCTAATAAGCTGATTAAAAATAATCTGCTGATAAGCTAGATGCGGTGACTACTAAAAATTTTTATGTTTCTGGAAAAGTTAGGCTGTTGCCAGAAAGCTGTCACCGCACCTAGATAGATGTGGTGTGGAAAACTTGTTTTCAATATTTTAAAAACGTATAAGTTGCTAAAACACAATTTTACCTAAACAGGTCAGGTGCTTTTTTAAAACATCACCGCACTAAAAAAGCTGCCCCAAACGGACACTAAAATGTTCAAGCGAATTTAATCATAAATTTATGTATAGATTGAGTCAAGCCATTTCACGAGCAGTCTCACGATCAACTTAATAAATGGCTTGAGAGATGAGCAGATTTGCTAATGAGTCAAGTTTCATCTAAGCCCAACTCACTCAATAAAGAGCAAGCTGGTTTAACGAATATTAATGTAAAATAAATTTAAAATATATTAAATTAAAAAAAAAACTATGCTTAAACTTATTGAACTTTTAAAACTATATATTTTATTAAATCAAAATTTAACCTCCTACTTGGTAGATAAAGCCTTTAACAGATCTATCAATGAATCAATAAATGTGAATAATAATAATGAAAGAGTAAATAAATGCTCACGTGAGGTGTTCGGTGTGCAACAGTCTTCCAGCCATTGATATATCTGCATCCATCTGCTTGTTCTGATACAGATCGTTGCTGTCTTCCGGCAACACAAGTTTCCGCTTCCGAACCGCCGCCACCACCACTTGGGCCAATCTAGTCAGCGGGCTCCCGCCGGGCTTCCGCCTTATGTAAAGAGGGCTCCCCAGAACAAAAGCGATGACTGAAACGAACATAACGATGGTGGGTATACCGAAACCTAGGCCCCATCCCACATTATCCTGTATGTAAACCACCACGGTGAGAGCCAGCAATAATGCCGCACCCATGCTGAAGAAATAGAGGTTGAAGAAGCTCCAATGTTGGCCGTTGGCCTGACCCGCCGGGCCGCTGCTGCGGCCGGTCTAGCTCGAACTGATCCGCTCCGAATGCGACCACACATGGTCGAATCCCGCCTGACCCGACAGCTGTGAGGAGGAGGGAGATGTAGAAGATGGCGAGCTGCCAGGCTGAGGCTTTCTGGCAGGATGGGGATTGAGGAGGGCATGGCATCGGGCGAAGCACGGGGAGGAGTGCTGATATGGTGACTCCCATCATGCCCTGAATTTAATTGATTTGTAAATTGAGTTTTTAGGATCAGTGCGCAATATTTGTTTTAATCTGTTAAGTTGGTATGGCATCTCTGTTTATTTATTTAATTCATAAGGACAGCATGATTTAGAAATTATTTATATTGGAATATATTTGGCTGAGAATATCATTTGATATGAATGGATCTCAAAATGAATGAAATTATTAAATCTAATTATTATTATATTCAAAATGATGCTTGGTTCAATTAAGATTAAATTCCCCTTAAATCCACTTATTTGTAAATTCAAATTTAATAAACAGAACAAGCAAAGATAGGATTTAATTTAACAGCAGATTTGTCTAACTTTATTATTATGTTTGATTTGATTTATGTTAAATCTAACAACTAATCATACCAAAACACCCCCAACGTGTTATTAATATTTCATTTCTAAACATTAAAAAACAGAGAAAAAATAAACAACATAATTAACATTTGTTAAAATTTCAACTTTTTAAGTTATATATGGAACCAAATCGATTTTAAAAATCTCGATTTGAATGTATCCCTCATACAACGCTTAGATGCAGATAACAATATTATAATTTGGTTATGTAAATATCGAAGCAAATAAAGATTTAAATAAACTAATAAAATAAATATTGAATTTCTTTTCTGTATTTTCTGTGACTTACTAGTTGATAGATTAAAGATCCAACGGCTATGGTCCAGAAACGGCCAGCAAAAGAGTCTGCAATAAGAGCACCAATGATCGGAGTAAGGCTGGCCGTGCCACTGAAGTTATTAAGAGTATTAGTGGCCTGAATAAGAGGAAGATGGAGCTCATTCTGAAGGTATTGAACCATATTAGCATTAAAACCAGCTGTTGCAAACCGGTCGCAGACTTCATTTGCTGCACCAAGAAAATTAAAAAAATTTAGCTATAAATCTCAGTCGATTTACGAAGCATAGAAATTAGAAGCTGATCATCACCCAATATGAATGGCATGGTTTTGAGACCACCCAACTTGTTCTTCTTTTTCATCTCCTCTTCTTCTCTTCCATCTCCGGCCATCTTCTTTTTTCCTTATTTCAGATTCAGAAAATACCTTTGGAGTGCAGGGGAAAGAGGACTGTGCTTTTCTTTTAACTGTGGTTGTAGGTGAAAAGCACTGAAAAAAAAAGGCTGCATGGTAAGGGTATTTATAGCTATTACTTAGCTAGAAGCTAGTGAGCCCAAATTTTATTCATATTTATAAAAGTGGGCACGGTGAATGTTCAGCGAGCCAAAAAGAAGAGGCTTCTCTTTTCTTTACCAGAGTGAAATATCGATCTGATAGGGATGCCAGATGCAAGTCATTCGATTAAACATAATGCAGATCAAATCTGAAATTTTTGGTTTAGAAGTAGTTTAATTTTTTTAATTTATATGTAAGAAAAAAGTCTTTAAAAGGTGCAAATTTTATTGAAGTGGGGAGCTATTAGAACTAGTGGAGGGCCAATCCTTGGCGCTTTGTTGTTTGGATAGAATTTTTGGAGGGATTGGATTGGTGGATTGAATGTTTAAAAAGCGTTCCATGAGCACTGAAATTATTAGGCGCGATACCTAATGATTTTTTTAATTAGAGAACCCAAAGCATCGTTTTTGGAGCACTATTGTGTACGGACATCCCACGAAAATTTGCGTGCGGTGTCCGATCTGGACCACTGAAATACATCTTTTTGTTTTTTTAAATTTTTAGAGTGAGACCCACTCTAAATTTTTGACGGTCCAGATTGGACACTGCACCCAAAAATTTTTCTCGCTTTTGAAGGTAAAAAAGGCATGGTAGCACAATTCAAATTAATATTTGTACAGAATAAGAATATAATCTAATTGAAGTCGGATCTATTTAAATGTCATCTCAACTAAATCAACGGAGTGAGCAGTCTACTGAAAACACACATTTTTACTATAAAAACTCGTCAGGTCGACAACTGAAGTTTGCCAGCTCATAGGCTCAAATTCAGTTATTCATCAAGTCAGCATTTCATATATAGGGCAGCTCAGTAACCGGTTATAGTTTTTAAATAGATTAACTATAAACCGTCGTTAAATCATCATGTAATGAACAATATTCAACACTACGCCATCTATGTATTTTATTCTTTTATTGTGTGCCCAATTATATAATTTTAGATAGGCTGCACATTGCACTACACCATCAAGTAAATAATAAGGCGTCTTAATAGGCTACACATTACATTATTGTTAGGTATGACTCATATACCAAATAAGAGATAGATGCTGGAGTGGAAGGGTAATTTTGTAATCACATATTGTATTCAGAGTTTACTTTAGGGCTATAAATAGACTTGTTTGTAATCCTAAGTCGATATTTCTGTATTCTGTAACATTTTCTGGAGTTGAAAAAAAGTCGCTGCTCTGCTCCCGATGACGTAGGCATCTTTGCTGAATCTCATTAAATCTCTCTGTGTTCTTCTGGATTTATGTCGACTTGTTTTTCATCGCTCTAATTTTTCAACATGCACTACCCACAATTGGTTGCTCCTGATTCGTTGCAATGAAACCCCTTATAGAATTATGATGTGCGCTACAAAATCTCGGCATACATTTTAGAGTAATGAGGCTTCCTGCTAAACAATGCACCTCACATACGACACTAACGCTTCCCAAAGATGGTGTTACAATGCACCTTGAATACAATCCGATGACGATGCAGCATGCACCCCACATACGGTGCAATGAGTCCTTACAAATAAGGAATAAAAATGCACTATGAATACGGTGCAGCGATACACCTTGATGATGGTGTAATAATGCACCCCAAATACGGTGTAACGACGCCTCTCGAAGATGGTGCCATAATATACCTCAAATACGGTGCAACAACATACAACAATGATGGTACATCTCATATACAATAAAATGAAGCTTTCCAAAAATGGTGTAACAACGCAATCATCACCGCCCGACCCGGCTCGCCATGATGTCGTTGTTCGTTTATCTACTATCATTATGCCATTGTCGTGGTTATTGTTCTGGAGTCGCCAATTTGTTTTCTGTCATATAGCCTCTCTATTCAAATAACCCTCTTTCAGATCTTCTCGGTGATCTGAAGAAAGAAGAGATCAGTGGTCTATGACATACAATGACAGGAACAAACAAAACAAACACATGGTAAGACCTAACGCAGATAGCTCCAAAGTGTATATTCAAAGTAAGATAGCCTTAAGTCACTTCAAAGGCATACTCGTGAAGAAGATCTGACAAAAAGAAGCCCATAACCAGATATTCAGGTTATTGTACCTATTCTGGCTTCTTCATATATGAGCAAACCCTTAGAGTTAATTACACCTTAAGCAACTGGGTTGCTTAAAAAAACTCTTGATTAAGGTTGTAACTCATCCTCAGAAAATTTGAATGTCACTGTTTTCAAGGAAGGAGTTTCAAAGTCTCATCCTAAAAGTAGAGGATGCTTGCAGACTCAAAAGGGTCCTATTAAAATTCCAAACTATTCTATTATGTTTTTATTGTCAATGGTTTAGTTGAGGTTCGTCCTTTGCTCCAGGATTCGAATGTCCGACCCTAAAAAATAGAGTTAGCTCGCCCTATTAACATGTAAAGTAAATCTCGGGAGATGCCTCATTTTGTCTTCAGTAACCCTACATATATATATAAGGAATGCGCGACCATTCCCGATGCGCCTAAGAATTATACCGCACCCCTCCACCGGGGGGAATCGAACCCCAGACCAGAGGGAACTTGGCTGATAACATGCAAACTAAATCCAGGGTGATGTCCACCTTTTGTCTTCAGCAGCCTTGCAAAACAGACTTTGTATATATTTTGGTTTGATTGGTTGGTTGTTGTTTTTATTTAGGACAACTCAATTAATATGTTCATGGCTTTTCGTCCTACTAGGGTTGTTGGGTTCCCAGATCTACTTAGTTTGAGAGGCGGTCAAGCCTACTCCAACTATAAAATTAATGTCAGCAACCATAGGTTGCGTCGTCCAAGAGATCCTCGCAGACCAGGGTATCGAGGTTACCCGGGTATCGGGGTTCAAGTTGAGTTCGATGTAGTTTTTCATTAGGGTTTCATTTAAGTTTAATGCCTTTTTCAGATTTTAGGTGTTAAAAATTTTAGGTTATTTAAGCTTTATTAGTGGGTTAGATTGTTTATTTTTGGGTTTTATTTTTGATGTTTGGGATGATACTGTCGAGATCCCTTGGTTCCATTTTTATTGGGGTTCGCAGTTTGATTAATCACAAGTGACTGAAAGATATTTTGTTAGTAGTCATGGTTTGCCTCTTCCAAAATGTCTTCTCAAACCAGGTTGCAATTTGTGGTTAAATTTTAAGTTCTAGTAAATTTTAAGATGCATTTTATTTTGTGTCGTTTGTGTTGGTATGTGCCTTGGCCCAAATTGTCCCCAACTGAAGCTAAGTGTGCTTTTATTCTTGAAATAAAAGTCAAACACTCCTTAACCTCCGATCACCTATACTTGAGCTAAGTTGAATTCGTCTTAGCTCATGTTAAGTTGGGTTGATCCGAAGTGAGCTTCAAACCGATCTGAGATAACTTGAGCTCATCTCAAATTGATTATGCATCGACTTAAGTCAACCAAAATTTAACAACTCGGACCCAGGTTAGACTATTTTCACTAGAGTCATGCAGGGCTAGATTTGATTTAGACTCACCTAGGGGAACTTAGTTGATCCAAATCAAATTAAGTTAGATTCTAGTTAACCCGAGGTAAGCTGATTTGATTCATGTTAAGATTCCTGGATTAAGTTGAATCTAACTCAAGATAGACATTGATAGAGGCTAAACTAATTTTGATTTCACTTATCGTTTATTCGAATTAAGTCTTAGTTGGGGTAAACTTGAGTCAATCTTTAATTAAACTCGATTCAAATAAAGTTCAACATCAGTTTTCGATCAGATTGATACGATTTAAGTCAGATTGAGATTAATTTGGGTTAACCCGAGTTAAAACAGGTTGATTAGGTTGTTCAGTTGATTGGATTAACCCAAGTTAGGTCAGGTTGACTCGGTGGTCCAGTTGATTGGGTTAACCTGAGTTTGGTCGGGTTGACTCGGTGGGTGGTTCAGTTAATTGGGTTAATGAGTTTGATCGGGTTGACCCAGTGATTTAGTTGATTGGGTTAACTGGAGCTAGGTCGGGTTTAGGTTGACCCAATGATTAAGTTAATTGAGTTAACCTGAGTTAGGTCAGGCTGACTCGGTGATTCAGTTGATTTGGTTAACATAAATTAAGTTTATCCAGTGATTTGAGCTGATTGGGTTAACTTGAGTTAGGTCGGGTTGAAACAGAGAGAGCCGCGCCTAAGCATCCAATACCGCATGCTTAAGTGCCAAGAGTAGTTACTTGTTGATTCAATGAATTTGGACGAGCCAAATCCCACAACACACACAGCCCCACATCGCACACACACCCACAACCACAACACACAGCACCCAACCAAATCCCACAACACACACATTCAACCACACCACATGACAATCTACATTAAGACCCACAACGCACATAGCCCCACACCACACACACACACCCACAACACCCAATCATAGCCCACAACACACTCAGACAATCACACCACAAAACAACCCACTCTTCAAAAAATAAAAGTGTTGATAAAACCCCTTCCTATATTTTTCATTTGAGGCAATTAAATACTGGGCACCCTTTTTGTAAGGTTATACACCAATGAAACACCCACAACACACATAGCCCTACACTACACACACACCCAAAACCACAACACGTAGCACCCAGCTAAAACTCACAACACACACAACCCCACACCACACACTCAAAACCACAACACAACACCTAACAACAACCCACAACACACACAGACAACCACACGACAACACAACCTACATCAAGACCCACAAAACACACAACCCCACACCACACACACTCACAGCCACCACGCACACACCCACATCACACACCCACCCACAACCACAACATGCAACACCTAACCACAGTCCACAATGCACATCTCAATGAAGCACCCTCTTACATCCCATATTTTTAATTCGATGCAATGACATACAAGCCACCTGAAACATTGTTATCTACAAATGAAGCAGCATCTTTTCTCCATTTTTGAATTCATAGATCAAAAATTTTAAAAAAAAATTATAGTATTGTATAGAGGCAATTGCAGACAGGCCACTCGAAATAATGTTATGAACATATCAAGCAACCATATTTTTAATTTGAGGCAATTACATAGAGGGCACCCAAAAAATTATTATCCACAAATGAGTGCCCTCTTTAATCCATTTTTAAGATTCCACATCAAGCACGCACTTTCTTCTATTCTCCAAATTCCATAAAGAAAATCAAAAAATCACAAAGTCATTTCATCCAAAAATTGCATAAAGAAAACCACTCCTCAAAAAATCTTCAGAAATCACATACAGAAGGGGCATTCCATCGAAAATTACTTACAAAGCACAATAATCAGAGATCAAAGGGAGGGGGAAGATGTGAAAGGCAACATTAAGCGCGAGAGAAGAATAATCGATGAAGAGAGGCAAGAGAGGCTGGCAACTAGATAAGAAATCGGGCGAAGGAACGCAGTCAAGAGGGGCAAGGTTGAGAGCGGCAGCGGGGTAATAGTTGTGCGAAGGAATGCGAGCCGTAGGGTCAAGCCCACAACTGCATTTATAAGAAATATTGATCGAACTATTACGATAAGCGACACCAATGCAGTAACCAAACAAGTAAGCTGATGTTTACAAAACGAACCACATCAAATAAGTTGTACCAGATGGGCCCGAAATCTCATAAAGCTCGTACAATCACGTAATGTCTGCCCGTCTAGTTTAGTGTCTATGATCTTCATGTTAAGTTGCCCATTCAGTTTTTTCTTTTTTCGTGTTGGCCGTAATTTACTGCCACAACAAAGTATGTGCATAAATACTTAAAGGACAATTTACAAGCATACATCATAATTTTTTTTATATATTTATATATAAATATAAATTTTGTTATTTATTTTTATAGCATTTATAAGTTTATGTACAAAAAATATGCGTTTACTTTTTAACAAATTAGTAATACTGATTTTTTTGTGACATAAATTTAAATGTTATATATATATGTGTATATATATA